TAAATATAATTGAGTATAAATTTTTTATGTATTTTGTATATAATAAATATAATTGAGTATAAATTTTTTATGTATTTTGTATATGATAAATATAATTGAGTATGAATTTTTTATGTATTTCATATATAATAAATATAATTAAATATTATTATATTCTAAATGATTATCTTCAGTTTTAGTATTATTATTTGGACTTTTTTGCATTTTATTAACAATATCTTTATTATGTTGATTAGATGAATCTTTTTCACTATGTTGATTAGACAAATCTTTTTCACTATATTGATTAGACTATCTTTTTCAATATGTTGATTAGACTATCTTTTTCAATATGTTGATTAGATGATTCTTTTTCAATATGTTAATTAGATGATTCTTGAACTGGTGTATTAGTATGTTGATTAGACATATCCTTTTCATTATCCATTTCTTGATTAGATATTTCTTGATTCAAAGTATCTTGCTCAGATTCATTATCAAGTTCTTGTTGATCAGATATATTATCTATTTTTTTAATTTAATACTGATATATAATTTACTAATATTATAAACATAAATATAATAAAAATAATAAAATATTACCAATTTCAATATTCTCAAAAATAAATTCTCTTGTATGTTTCTTTGGTTGCTTTTGTGTAGCATAAACAGTCATTTAGGCTTATGCCTAGAATAATCAACTTAAATTGATACATATAATTAACAAAATATATTTTAATAAAATATACAGTATATTTAAAAATAATAATACCTTTTGAATTTATTATTTGTCTAAACATTTCATAAAAAACCCAATCATTAGCTGTATTTAAAAACTCTGAATATTCATTAGTGGCTTTTCTAAATGATGCCTTTTGAATTTCTTTTGAAATATATTTAATATTACTTTTTTTTGAATAAGCACTATTTTGTTACAAGTTATAAAGGTATTTCTATTAAAAAAATAATATTATTATAAAGTTATTACTAAAAACTATTTATGTTTATAAAAATTACCTTGCATTCTTTAACTAATGCAGGATCTATATTCAAAGTTTTGGCAACCAGAATATTTGTATATTATTTGCCAGTAGCTAGATCAGTTATTGGTTTTGTATTTTTTCTCTTTATTTAATTTTAATTGATTGAGCTTTACAGATATACTATTCCACTTTGGAAGTGCTGTCCAAATCAGTAGGTGGTGCATCAAGTTCACTAATATTATCAAAAATAGAGGTTTCATTAGATATTTTAAATATTTGAAAATAAATTTAAAAATAAATTTAAAAAAATTCTGCTTAATGATGTAAACAAGCTTAAATATATAAACAATGATTAATTATAACTATGTAATTGTATTGCATCATAATGGTTACAAAGCTGAAGAATGGTCCTCCTGGATCACAATGTATTTATTTCCATTTCTATGCCCAAAAAGTATTATGAAGGCTGGGGTTTGTTTGTAAAGGCTGTTCGGCTATGTTAAAAACAAATAATAACAATTAATGATTTACACAAAATTTAATCATATTTGTTAGCATTTTATGCACATTATAAAAAAGAATATTACCGTGAACAATTAGATCATTTAAGTGCAATGAAGATGTCTATTCATAATATGTTGCACATATCAAAAAGTATTTTTGAAACAGGTCCCTGCTGTATGATATGGCAATATCTGATTGAAAGGGTATACGGAATATTGCTTCTACTAACAAGATCAAGATTATATCTATACAAAAATCTTATTAATAACATTTATTTGCTAGAACTTTTTAATTGTTTAAAGTTTAATAAACCAATCGATAATCAAATTTTTCTAACAATTCCGCCAAAAATACATGATGAATATCTAGCCTATACAGGAGAAAGTAGTGAAGATTTCTATTTTCCTTCTGTTCAATATAATTTAACACAAAGTGAATTGAGAAAAATCAAAGAATATTTCTCTACTATATATGATGTATTTGGTCTATAGCTTATATCCTTTAGCAAAACAGGAACAAAATATGGACAGCTCAGAACTAAAGATGGCCACTATATTGGGTCAAAATTAGGGTGTGTGGTATGGCTGAAAAATCTTGCATGCCAGATGGCATGCCAGGTGGCATGCCACCAAATCACATGATAAAATACCCAAATTTGATTGGTCAGTTATATATATACGGTTTGTATCTTTTGGAATATCTCAGAACTTAGATTCAATTTTTCTTTAAATTTTAATTTTTTATATTAAAATATAATAAATGGCATACCTATAGGCCATTTAAGTTTTGGGCATGCCAATGATCTTTATGCCACAAACCCTAGTCAGAGTGGATTTGTCAGAATAAAGACTGGTTACATGTTAACTATGCAGTTATAGTTAAAATAGAAGTAGATATTTATGCGAACTATCTGAAGCGATTATCAGTATTTAAAGTTCAAGATTTTTATGCTATTGTTGAATATTACTTAGTTTATGAATTTGAAGAATTTAAAGTGATGTTAGCCTATATTCAGTAGATATCATCTGTTAAAGAGGATAATGTTGGTGTAAAAAAATTTAGTCGATTAGGAGTATATACATTTATTAATACATTAGCTATCAATCATTGTGTAGGTTTTGTTGAAATTAACAAATTATTTTATATAGTAGACATTGAGGTAGATATTAATGAATGATGATAAATAATTTAAAAGCTACATAATTATTGATATTATAGATATCACCATATAATTATTAGTCAATTTATAGATTTTATGCAGTTAGTAATTATAAACAATTTCTGTATAAAAATTTAATATTTCAA